AACAGTGACCTTTTGTCAGGTATTGCAAATCGACGGTACTGATCAACCTGGTTTGATCGATGCCACTGCAAGGAAGCCGTTCAGAGAACGCAGCATTTCTTGTTCTGACGTCGCCGCTTCTGCTTTGGATCAGGATAACGACGATTGATCTGTCTTACGAGATCATAGAATACCTTAAGAATAAAAAGCAGAAATCAGAACCAAACGCTATGAAAAATAAAATTATGACACGTTCGCAGTTATATCTACTTTCATCAACTAGATCTGTAAGTATCCCAAACTGACAGTAATACGGGGTCAGCAAAAAAGACAAGAAAGACGTAGGGATGTTTCATAAGTAATGTTACAGACAGATGTTTAAAATAAAACTTATAAATTCAGATTCGATTAAGTTAAATAATTAATGAAATCTGAAGGCATGCAGATGAAGGCAGCAAGAAACAAACAGGATAAAGAGGAAGTTCGCCACTAAAGACAAAATACTGAAACACGTTAAGATTTAATCAAAGCAGAACTAGCGACCAGATATCGGTGTACCAGTCATTAACCCATTATTCACTGAATCTGAGGTTGAATTTAATCACTGGAACAAGCAGAAAAGTAAAAACAGAACGACCCTACTGTAATCCTGTGATTCATTTCTAGAGATGAGTTATTAGGCAGCGAATGCGTATAGAAGGATAAATTCTTTCTCCGTTGGTCTTTCAAATTTTAAGGATCACACTCAAAAGTTTTTGATTTCATGCCGCACGTTAGATTTGCACAAGGTCCTCCAATGTACAAGTTTAATAATAAATGAAGCAGATAATGAAAAATGATTTACTACGATGTGTAGTAGATGATGGACCAGATGTCTGCTGTTTTAACTCACTTTTATTTTTCAGTTCATTCCGTAAGAATCCCATCGACAGCACACTTAGAATTGCGAAGATACCTTGATATTGTGATATTGCGAAGATAATAGATTACATCGACTGCAAAATTAAAGATGTACTAAGTACATTAAAGTGCTAATCAAATTTCCACGCTTTATTTTAAATGACCTTTTATTTAATTATAACGTCATTTACCTCGTTCACGTTGATTTTCGCTTTCGCGGATGTTTCCAAAAAAGCGCAGTTAAACTGGCGGGCAAGATTTTGACCTTGGTCCTTGCCGACTACCCGTTCATCCTCCAAGTCGCATTTATTGCCGATCAAAATCATCGGAACCTTAAAATCACAAGCGGTCACCTTAAAGGAAACGGTGTCATCTCTCGTCACCAATAACAATGCTTACGTCATCGGTGTCTTTAACGCGAAGAATTTGATCCCTCAAGTCTATGAGATCGTTGAACGTCGACTGAGCCGTTATCGAGTAGACAAGAACAAAACCTTGGCCGTTTTTCATGTAAAGATCACGCATCGCAGTAAACTGCTCCTAAAAAAAACAAAAAATCTCTCTTTAAAAAGCAACAAGGAAACTTTACAATCGTTATTCCCATCGTAAAAAAACTACAGCTATTCAGCGAAATCGATTAAACATCAACCTTAAATTTCCTTGTCAGCATCCTCGACTCTATTACGTCAAAAATTATATGATGGACGTTATTCGCAAAGCGGCTAACGGGAAACGGCTCCCGAAATGAGTAAGCATACACTGCAAATTGACGCTCTGAAAGTAACAAAATGCAGTCTTGTGATCTGTGTAAAAATACTCCACTCACCTAGCAGCATCAGGCGATTCAATAAAGCTCAACTGTGAACCAGCTGTACATAATTCTGCTGATTTATTATCAATTAGTTCCAAAATACAGGTTGGTACTTATGCTAAAGTTTGTTAATACGCGCCGAATCATTTCACACCAGATTTTACGGTTACAGCATCGCTTCAGCATTTGAAAAAGCCACTATTAATGCACCAACGTGCTGAAATATTTCACACCAGTGATCTTCTTAATTTGTTCCATACGAACCAAGGAGCAAGGAGGGCTTTATTTTATGCTGTGGCAGCATTTTGATGAGTTACACGATTATTAATTATCCGCATTTAACTTTGTGCTGCGCTGCAGGCACTTCTGTCTTCAATGAACTAGTAACGGATACCACTTTCCCTTTCGAATCGCTGTGCCGCACCTTCAAACAATGTTGCCAACATTCACGACCTTGCGCCAGTCGATAAACGTTGGCAACGAGAGATAACCCGAGTCCAGAGTAAAATTCATCCCAAACCTGACGCAGTCGCTTAAAATCTTTCGAGACCTACCTAAAGGAATTCAGTCTATCGGTCGAGCAGAAACGTTGATTTGTGTACATCTCGTCTAATGGCATATACAAGACAAGCCAAAAGCGTCGCAGTTTCCAACTCTAAGCCTGGGCCTTGGTTGCAAGGATATAGCAGATTTGTGAACCCTGGACTTTGTCGAGATGCGACAGTTCTGCGATTTTTCTCGGCTAATACATTTAATCAACTTGTGCAAATGGTCGCGGTTTTTCGTTAACTGTTTTTGATATTAACATGTACAGGTGAGAATCAACTTCAACACAAGTAGCTCTCTCTCCGTCCCAAGACTATACCCGACCCACTTTGTCTTCTGGTAATAAATCTTTAACATCTGCTTCAAGCTGGTTAAAATTTGAACTCCGTAACAAATTTCTAACCCCATCATGTCTTTTGTTGATCGATCACATGTTACTCCTTCTATTCCTTCAAGCAATGACAGTTGCTATGGCTAAAAATAAACCGCACGACGAACAACAAATCTTAACGGAGAAAGTCAATCTGGTGAAAGCCAAAACATCAAAACAAAAATTTAATCATGCTAGTGAAATTTCGCGTTATGCTAGCCCGGCTATCAAGCAAGAACAAGACACTCAATTCTACTTAAAACTTCATGTAAAAAAATCGCCGCGCTTCGTTAATTGTAAATCTACCACTTGAGGGATGCAAGAAACTTCGGTTATCAATTACGCTATGACTATGATATAAAAACAGATTACATTAAAACCAATTATTGTGACCATACACAACTCTATGCCTCACAGCTCGTCATGTTAAGATTCAGCAAGAAAGAATGCAGCCCACAGTAAAACTAATAACTGCAACAGTGCAACAAAAAACTCTACGCATTCCACATCACTGCAGAGGATAGCTTCTTTGTGTGAAAAAATGTTTTAATTATTAATTAATCAATGCCGGGTCCATGCTACTGATGCAACTTATACCATGTCTTACAGTTTGTAAAAGTCATTCAACAGATCGACTATAAGAGTTCTGGCCTCAATGTCATTCAAAACTCTTTCACCTGCTCCTGGTTTACTGTTATTTATCTGTTATACGATGGACGTTCTTGTTTTTTGAATTCAAGCAGAAAAGCCAATGCCTTTTGCAAATCGGTTGATGTGATAAACTTTAAGCGTTTTCTTTAGTGAACACTTGGGTGCAGTTGGTAATATGGCAGAAAAAGTTAATATTACGGCCTGGGTGTCAAATTGCCTTGCATTTGTACCGCATCTTTAAGCTGTTCCCTAATGATGGTATCGAATGAGTAAGAAAACGAATCCACCGTTAGAGTGAAAATTCATTTTTTTGAAGCGCGTTTTAATGTTTCATCCGACTATCAATAAATTGTTCACCTTTGTCTTTCTTCAGATTGAAATTATCTGATTATGCATTTTCTGCCTTTTTTTATTTTTAATTCAAACTTATCAAATTCGTTTACATTTTGTGACTATTTTTAATCGGTTCATAGGTGAATGAAGAGGAGTTGCAGCGGAAGAGTGCAGACGTTAAAATGCAGAGGTCTACATGATGTACCATTGGGACAATAATTTAAAAACAGACAATTTACGAACCACTGAGTCCAAACAAGTAATTCTCCTTTGATGTTACTGGTCTTATCTTAGAATTATAGAGCAGTTTGAAATTTGTCCCCACCCTTCGGTAAAGTTGTCGCTCTCTTTGGCAACCTGGATGGCTGTCAGTAGGAGGAAAAGAAAACGGTGGTATATTTTTGGGAAGAATTCATTTACTTAAAGTAAAAGCGCGTTCGCTGTTAACCTATGATAAATACGATGCAGAATGATCACTTTTAGTGACCTGATCATGTAACAGGTAAAATGGCGGAATACTCTTAATCTGATCCTGTCAAGTGTGTAAAGAAGATCTTACGAGGAGCAATTTCTGATGCGCCATGCAGCAGTGCCTTGACGATCACTAGAATATGCAAAACCTCTCACCATGTCAATGTGATACCCTGTTGAATTAGCCTCCTCTGCTGACGACAAAGCATAAAATCTGTAAACACTGAGATGTAGGTCTCGCTTGCACTTTTACCATTTGCGGTACCCTTCTTTGATGAAGCCCAAGGTGCTGCGATGATGCTTTTCACGATCCATCAATCGGAGGTAGCATTTCAAAAAGAGATAGTCATTAATCTATTCCAGAAAGCTGAAAGATAAGTGACCTGGCCGGGGCTCGAACCCAGAACCTGTTGGTTTTGAGCCTGACGCTCTAATGACTGAACATTCCTGGTTCTGGAAAAGAAACGGGGTCACTGAGAAAAGCAACTTCTTACTGCTCTTTCAGAACCCTGACGAACACATCAGGTTATGAAAGTGAATAAATGAATTCAAGCAATTTAGAAAATGTGAATTGTTTCTATTGCGAAACAACAGTATGAGACTTTTTTACAATTAGCACTTTGTAAACGGAAGTCAAATAGCAATGCTTACTGTTCCGGCAGTGTCCAAGATTTCCAACATGCATTGCTGCCCATCGACTTCGACTTGCTAAAGTAAAGAAAGAGATGAAAGTAAAATTAAGCAATTGTATCAACTGCTTAGACATCTGACTAATACGTACATACATTCATAACGTATAGTTATAAAAGCTGTGTAGAACTACAATAAGCATATACCTTTCTGTAACTGTC